AAGCTCATTACGCTATGGGGGTACGGTATGAGTAGAACGTACACGCAAATTTATTCATTTTTAAACGTTATAACGGTTACAATAGGAAAAGAAAGGCCCACCTAAGTTGTTACTATAGGACTGATTCGTATATTGAAAACAGTACACGCTTCAATTTTAGACCTTAAATCTACACCTGGTAAAATAGAGAGGACTGTAAATGGAATAAAAGTTGAACGTAAACGTATATTTATTCGCCGTTGCGACACGCGGCGATACCGCGACAGTCGACAACTCGACATCCCACGCGAGAGAAGGTGTGTACTCGTTTTTGACTGACAAGGACTGGATTAAATTGGGTTTTCAAATACAAATATTCAATAAATGGGTATATGGCTCAAATTGAAATCTAGGATCTTTTGGACAACTTCATAGGTAAATATACCAGAAAACTGAGGGGCATGCTCAAAAATCGTATTTTCGACCAGATTTTCGTTTCAATATACCCAAAAAAAAAACTAGTTCAAAAAGGGTGATTTTGATAGAAAAAAATAGGGGGGGGGGGTGTTCAAAAGATTTTTTTTTAATTAACCATGGTGTAAGTAATATGTAAATATGTTATTTAAGTAAATACAGTACATAGTCGGTAAATATATTGAATTGTTTTTTAAAAAACAAAAACCATAGCCTTCTGAAAATAGAACACAAAAAAAAATATAATTAAAAAAATTAAACCCTAAACCCTTCAGTCTTCACGCCTGCTCAAAGCGTTTATTTAGATAAACTGAAATCGTTTTTATAAATTATTTTTTTAACAAAACTTTTATATGTACATAATGCGCAACATGATACATTTGAACAATCTCATACAAAAACATGGTTTTCTACAACCATTTTACGAAGTGCCAACTAAGTTTAATTATCACAGAAAAACTATAATATTGTTATTTAGCTTGTTCAAAGTCTCCTAAAATGAACACGTTTTTAAAAACAAATATAAAAACAGATAATGTGGATGAGATTTCTGGATTTTAATTCGTTATAGCCAACAGACCACAAGTCAAAAACTGTGTTTTTTAAACCATATATAAGATACTGCCAATGAAATTGCGAAAGGTTGGAATTTTGAGGTTTTTATTTTGGGACATAGCTACACAATCAAAACACCGGTGAATGACAAAGAAAATTGAGTGACTCCATTGGCTGAAAAAATAGTTTGGTTTTTAAGGTATTTTGGGGTGGTGAATTACGGGTTTAAAATAAACAAGTACGTTTATTAAAACCATTTCTCAATCCAACTGTCGTCTATGGATAAATGCGTCTATTAAGTACGGTATATATTTCAGTTTATGTAAAATTTAATAAACCCCATGCCGAATTGCCGATCCTCATCGGTACGCTGAAGCCTCAGCGGGCCCAGTGTCGAGAGTCGAGACTCGAATGTCGACTGCGCAAGAAATCTCTGGAATGCAAACTACAAACATCAACAACACAACGACGGCGAAAAATAAAAGTGTCGAGACGAGAAAAGATCCCGTCTGTGTAAATAATCATCTGTTTTGATATTCTTTATATAAACAGACGCAGTATTTGCATTTGATTTAGTTCTACAAACAAGTTGCTACCACACCAATCCGATCCGAATTTCATATAAATATACATAATGTCGGTATGTAACTTACTTAGAAAATATGTACATTTTCATGAGCAATATGTATCGGTATTACTTATTCCAACCACATGCTAGTGATCTGTATGTTGCAGTTTTCAAACACACATGCACGTGTACACACAAACACACAAACACACACACACACATATATATA